TAAAAAGCATCTGTAGAACTACGTCTCATCTACATCTTCACATCTTCACATCTGCACATCTACATTTTCACATCCTCACATCTGCACGTCTACATCCCTGCTCATCTTCACATCTGCACATCCACATCTCTGCTCATCTTCACATCTTCACATCTGCACATCTTCACATCTGTACATCTACATCTTCACATCTTCACATCTGCACATCTACATCTTCACATCTTCACATCTTCACATCTGCATCTCACATCTGCGGATCCTCTCGCTCTTCTTTTCTTTCTCTCTTAAGGCGGGGCGGCGCCGCCGGAGCACCGCGAAACGCAACCCTCTGCGGAGATCGTGCGCGTCGAGGGCGCGAAATGCAGGTGAGATTGCGTTTTGGATTTGGCAGGCGCAACCCTCTGCGGAGATCGCGAGCGTCAAGGGCGCAAAATGCAGGTGAGATTGCGTTTTGGATTTGGCGCGCGGAACTCTCCGCGGAGATCGCGCGTGTCGAGGGTGCGAAATGCAGGTGAGATTGCTTTTTTTTTGTATGCTTGGAAGGTTACGCGCGCCAATGGCTTATATTCATAGTTTTTGTGGCACAGAATGCGGGTAAAGTTTTCCGTTTTTTGAGAAGTCTCGTGGAAAATACTCGGTTGCGAAGGTTTCATTCTCACTTTTTGCAAATGTCTCATGGAAAACGCGCGTTTTGGAAGCCTCGGTACCGAGGTTTTTCCCTATTTTGTGGAAACTGTTCATACAACATTGCGATCATATACCTTCTTGATGGCACGTCAGATTGAGAGAATGTTGGATGTCATTTACACAAACATTGCGGTACCGAGCTTTTATATTTATATATATGGAGATTTTCACATAAAAATGCATGGTCTCTGCCTTTGAAGGCATTTTGGTACCAAGCTTTTTTGGAGACTTTCATGCAAATTTCCGTACGAGAATGAGATCATACGCGTTGTTCACGGCATGTTGGTACCGAGCTTTTTTTTTTGGTGACTTTTACACAATTCGCTGCACAAACATGGGATTGCTTGCATCGTTGACGACATGGTGCTGTCGAACTTTTCGAAATCACATATCCGGAGTCTTCGATGGTGATCTTGTCTTTACCGCTTGCGTCTACCTCTGTCGTGGGATCGTTTGCAATCGTTGATGCGATGCATGGCAGAGACATTTGTAGCCTCTTTGCTCTTAAACGCCCTTGCTTGCATTCTGCTTCTCCAGGAACGTATTCAAAGCCATGGAGCAGGCATCTGAAGTCGGAAGATTGCGACAGCCTTTGTTGGATCGCGTCAAAGAGCGGTACAATGATATCTGCAAGGTGGGCCGGCACCTTGCAGAAGGCGCCTGCATTGCCTGCCGAGATCCACAACAGCTTTTTGAAACCGAAATCACACGCTCACATCCGCAGATCTTCCTCTCTACCTCCACACACCCACACATCTGCACATCTATATCACACCTGCACATCCACACTGTCACTCCTTCACATCCGCCCTCTCTTTCTCTCTTTCTACATATCTTTTCTCTTAACATGTTAAATCTAATTTCTTCGCAACTTCTTACTTCATAACAGATTGTATCTCGATATTTAGCTATTTCCTTACTCGGAATTGCTTGACCGTCACCTTTTTTACTCTCGGGCCAACCGCCGTCTAGTTGTCTCTGCACGAACTCCACCCTGGCGGGCGAGCCAGTTCCAAAGGCAACGAGGGAACGTCGTCATCGATCTCTTGAGTCAGCCGAGCGGGAGCGTTCATCTCTTGAACTCGCTCTCTCCTCAGCCATAGCTCTTACAGCGCGCGCTACTCTATGGTGGGGCGAAGCGTAAACTAAACAAGCACGTACCATACTTTGGCGATGCGGCTGACACACTGTGGCTGCGGGTGACCGACCGGTCTCTACCACTATGGATGCACCTGTTTTGATCTTGAGCCAGAGTACCAGGTTCAGGGTGAGATTATGTCTATGATGCGTGAAACAACAACTATAGACCAACCTTTATAGCTGCCCGCGAACGGGTTGCATCCTGATGTATTTATATATAGCTGGGTTGCTGTTGCAAATGTTGTGGTTGCTATATGCTCTGTCGTGCTTCCACCTCAAATATACATTAGCCCCAATATACTTCTTGGGACCTCAGCGTCTACACAATTTATGAAACAAAGCTCTCACGCAACTGGCAAGCGTTAGTTAAAGTCTCACCTTGAATCTGCGGCGGTGATATTGCAAAGCGATGTTCACCCCAAAAAAGCAAGTTCAAAAGGGGAGCGCAAAGCAAAAGCAGGCAGCTTTTGCTGCAACGCGCACATCGATGAGCTGAAGGGAGCGAGCGTCAACACATGTCACCAAAGCTTCACAACTGCAAACCACCCACCACGTACACTGAATCCATTGCACGTCAAGAAAAACTGGGTCTTGACCATCCGCGCCTTCCGGCGTTCACGCTGACCCCTTCTCAAGCCTGCCCTATACAGTTCTTTCTCTCGGTCCTCAGTAAGAGTTTCTTTCAAACAAATTGTCCCTCTGGGCTTGAAAAAGCCATCCAGCATGTCTTTCGTGAGGCCGTCCGCGAATTGGCGCCATGTCGGCACCCAAGCTGTCAGCATTGAAGCTCTCTCATTGAGGAACTGCGCTGAGGGGGCAGCTCGGTCGTCAAATCGCCGCGTTCAAAAGCTGAGAGCTCGTGAGAACAAGTGCGTTAAGGGAAGGCACCTTCTGCTTCGCTTCCGTGAATACTGAATACTTTGCCACCGGCGTGACGATCCCAACGGGATTCAACAATGGCATGAAGAAGGAACCAGACGACAATGTTCTGGAGGCATGCTTCCATCTTGCCGTGAAGCACTCCAAGGCGTTGGAGCACAAGCTTGCTCTCTATGATCGTGCGGTTGGAGGCTCACAGGAAAGGACGTGTGAGGTCCTCATGTTGCGCGGGCAAAACATCGACTTCCTGCCTGACTACAACCGCCCTTGGCTCAACTGGTGAGAAATTCAGCCGGCAATAGAGGGTTGTGGCAGGAGCAGATGGCGTGCTCGAAAAGGAACGCAAATGCTTGAAGATTACCCGAAAAGCCTACACATATGGCACCACCTGTGGCGCATTAAAAGAAAACGCAGCTTCAGATCTGTGCAAAGCAGCAAAACTCATTAGGAAGAGACCGCCTATGACTTGCGCGTAGAGATGTCTATATGGACATGATTCCCGATGATCGGCTTGCGGGGATCAGGAGTGTGACGCAGAAGGCCAACAAGATGACACAGATGCAACTCGTTGTGCCACTCTATGCATTCAACTGTGCCGTCTCTTATGGCACATGTTCCTGGAATGAAGCATGCAATGAATTAGGAAAGAGACCTGTGCCCTGGTCTTTTCAAAAGCCAAGGCCAAAGCCGGAGTTTGTCCAGACGCATGCTTTTGTAGTGCTTGCTCGCAACGCGGGAGCGTGTGCCATGCCCAGGTGACGTTTCTGCTTTCTGAAGGGCCGGCGTTGCGCTTGCCTTTCCGATGTGCCAAAAGATAATTGCAAAGGTTGAAGCATGTGCGAATTGGAGTTGATTGCATGCATGAGCCGTAGGGTGAATGAGTGTGAACTGAAACTGGAAGCATTTACGTGTGGGGGGGCCCGTTGCCCTCGTAGCTCCTGTCCTAATGAGTGCACTGTACATCATGCTCACACTCCAGTATCATAGACATGTCACCCTGAACCTGGTACTTTGGCTCAAGATCACAACAGGCGCGTCCATTGTGGTAGAAACAGGTCGTTCACCTGCAGAGACGCCGCTTGAAAGGACAACTATAGACTATAGCCGCAAACTTGCGCAGAAGTGTGGTGGGTCTTGTGTGGCTAGCGCTCGAATGTTTTGATCCCACAACTGGAACACCGCATTTTGCTGAACCTCCAGGGCTGTCAAGAAAACCATGTCCCCCCACCAGCTCCCCTGCCACATGTCTTTAGGCCCCGGCGCCTCCTAAACCTAAAATGTTTTGTTTGTCATTCAGATGTTCCTTTTCGTTTTTGCGTTTTCTGCAGGCTTCCCATCACTTTCCGCTTTCCCTGCTTCAGTTGAATGCGGTTCACAATTGGACCTAAAATTAACCCATCGCACCTTTGAGGTTCGTGGGCATTTTCAGCTCAGTACTTCATTGTCAGTGGCTTGCCTGGCTGTGGGAAGACATCATTTTTGCAACGCAGCGCTACAAGATTCCATGAAAAGGGTTTAAAGGTAAAAGGAATTCTGGCCCCGCATGGGCCTGATGGGGCCGGGGATGGTCGCAGAAGCCTCCGACTGCTCAAACTTCTGAGCTCTTCTGAAGTGCTGCCCTTCCAACTCGACTGCGCCCCAGGAGAGGGGGGAAAAACAAGTGAAAGAGAAGATGGACTCGAGATAATGGGCATAAGGATTGGGAACTTCACATTTGATCCGGGGGCATTTGCAGCTGCCCAATATGAACTTGAATCCTGCAAAGACAGACAAGGACCTGAGGGATGTGCCGATTGGATTTTCATTGATGAGATTGGGCCGTTGGAGCTTCGCCGAAAGGAGGGCTTGGAACCTGCGCTAGGAGATTTGTTGCGAGCTGCAAGAGCGGGGGAGCTGGGACCACCACAGTCACGCTTTATGATTGTGGTAAGGCCGTCCCTTCGAGACCAAGTGGTTGAGACCTATCTTCAGTTGGACCCCCCTGGTGGCGACTCTCCTGGCTCTGGGTTTTTCACTCTTGCTCCTGAAGCTCAAGCAGCTGCAGCTGCAGCTATGGTTGTGGATGTTGATCCCGGAGAGGATCCTGATGCCTTGATAGAACGGCTAGCGCAGTTGCCCCCACTCTTCTAGCGAAGCATGCTGGGCGATGAACTGGACAGGTTCAGGAGCCAGTTGCTATAGAGTCATGTTGCGCCGAGAAGTAGCAGAAAAATGCGTCGGCGTTCAGAACAAGCAACGAGGAACATGTTCGCACCTGCGGCATCTTGTATTGCTTGTGCATTTTTGCGTGCCAGGATGGACATGATCAGGCTTTGCTGCGCCAAGTTTCGTGTGTTTTGTGAGTGCCACAAGATTTGTATAGATTTGTTCTTTTTTACGTTTGCTTAAGCAGTGTGGTCACATTATAGGGGTTCTTACGCTCATGGTTAAGGCCAGGTGTTTGATAAGGTGTTCGCGGCCGTTGGCGGCTAATTCGCTGCTATTTGCGCTACGTTCTTTCACCTCGAGTTCTTCGAAGTGCATTTCGACCGAGCAGGCTCGCAGAAACTGGTCGAGTCGACTGCGCTCTCGTTGTGGCACTGTGCGTGTTGTCGGACTTGGTGTCACTTTTCGTGGCAGGCGCAAAAGAAACTCGTGTTTTGGCACTAAAGTTGACTACCCGTGAGGTGTGGGAGCTGAGGTCAGAACAGTTTTACTTCGATGCGCAGATTTCGTGGCATGCGCTGTGCTTTGGACATGGTGGTGTTGGGTGTGCTATGATTTTGTGGCGGGTGCAGTGAGTCGTGACCTTTGGACATGTGGTTTGGTTTCAGAAAAAGCAGAAAAGTCTCGAGCGAAAGCCGTGCTTTGGCGTGTTGCATCCCATGACAAAACAGTGCGATGTTAATCTTGATGTGCAGTTTTCGTGGCGAATGACGACTTCGTGGTCAGATTTTGTGGCAGGTGCAGCCCTTTGTGAGCCTCGGGGTGCAGATTTCGTGGCCGGCGCAGCGTTTTGTGGACTTGGAAGTGCAGATGTCGTGGTTTGCCTCAGCAGATGTGCTCCCATATGTAAGCTTTCATCCGTGTCCTCTCGCACCTCTACAGTAGGACTCTAGGCCTCAATCTCATGTTTCTGGCCTGCTAGAACTCTAGGTCCCCCTATATGTATCTCAAGACCTGGATCTCCCGACTTCTAGACCTCAAACTCTAGACTTCTTGACCTCGAGGCCTGTAGGTTTCCTATCCCTTCAGCGGCGTTCTGCGATCTCGACGCTCGACCCCTGAGTGCCTAGACTAAAGACATCTGAGTCTGTAGCGCAACCCTAGACCTCCAGACGTCAAACCACTCTGGAACTCAGCGGGTGGATCTCTGGATCTCTAGATCCGTCTGGGTCTCTGGATCTCTAGAAACTTGCAAGTTTCTCCAGATGTAAGCCTCCGATCTCGATCTTTCCAGGCCTCTAGAACTTTAGACCTCCAGCCCGCCCCCTAGACATCTAGACCTTTCAATCTCTCCAGGCCTCCAGACCTTGAGATCTTTAGGTTTCTAGGCAGCCAGACCTCTAGAACCCCAGGCCTAGACATCCAGGTCTCTTTGGATCCCAACAAATCTACACCTCCAGAGCTCTAGATCTGCGACCTCTAGATTTCTTGGGATGTCTAGACGTTTACCAGTAGATCACCTGCTGGATCTCAAGACCTCTAGACCTTTGGACTTTCAGACCCCTGTAGATTTCTGGAACCCAATACTTGGGGTCTCTTGCCGAGATAGTTTTCACATTCTTGGAGGCCACATGCCCATTTCCAGAAGTGAATCTGTGGAGTGTGCTCTAGTATTCTTTTGTGTGTGAGTGTGTGCGCTTCCCCCAGTGCTGATCATGGGCATGCAAGGTGCTGCACAAGCTGAAGCCGTCCAAAGAGGAGGATGCATCAAGAGCAAGCCTCAGAACATGTTTTTTCAGAAAGCACTCTCCGTTTGTTTGTGTATCAAGTTTTGCAGGCATGTCAATGACAGTCAGCACTTGTGCTAAGCTTTGGGGTGTTTTCCGTGAAGCCCAGTTGAAGGTTATGAGAAGGCAGTAGCTCGATCTGTTCTCGAGTTCTGGAAGGCAGCAGGTCAGCGCACGGTGCCCCACTTTATGGATGGAAATCGCTTGTAGAGTTACCGCTTCACATGTCTTTCCAGCAACGAGACTCAGGCCTTGAGATCACCTTCGACAGCTTAATCCAACGGAAGGCGTGGCTTTTCAGATGTAAGTTCAGTTTTAGTGCTTTACCAACTTGGACCCTTTGGCTCGAGGTGATCTCTCCACAGGTTGTTGCCGAGACTGCTTTATGTCATGGGTCTCTCAAGGCATCCGCCGCTTTGTGTCATTTCCGTGGCTCGGGGCCACTCATGCAGGCTGATGCCATGCCGCTATGGAATGTCGTGGGCAATGCTGCACGGAAAAGTGCCACAACTCAGCTGCACGGTGCGTTCTGCAGTATGTGAACAATTTTCGTTTCTACGACACGGACAAAAAACATACTTCATGAGGCCTGGAGCGGTCCCAAGCAGCTCATGCAGACTTGGCAATAGCAAAGAAGCTGCAAAAGGCAAGCAATGCTAGACGGCTAGACAAAATCATGCAAGGTAATTACGTCTGAGCGTTTCAGATACTACACAGAACAGTTGCCCCCAAGCCGTTGCACTTCAAGGAAGATGTGCTGCTGCAGAAGTGCTGATTTCTCAGTGGTGCAAAAGACAGTGCTCGCTTCAGTCTCTTTACCAACCAGGTCAGGCTGAGCTGGAATGTGCAATTCAAGCAAATGTGACAAGCTTAGCGTTATATGTATATATATATATACATATATAGGACAGTTGATCATGTCATTCAACACAGGATTGACACCTTTTGTTAGTCGAACCCTTTCTAAAATCTTTTTGCAGTAGGAGCCTCAATTGTTGAGGCACGCCTGTTTTTGTCCATTTTCACCTCCTTGGCAGCTGGCTTGGTTTGGGGCAAAAAGTTCAGTGGCTTTTGACGACTTGGAGTGCTTGGCTGCAATTGTAAGGTGAATGCTTATGAGGATGCCGAGAGGGATGCAGCTTTGCGCAACATCCTACTTTGCCGTGTGCTTCTCGGGTTGGCTTTAGTTGCATTTGGTCAGCATAACTCCACAAGTGGTGAACAACCTTGAGCCTTTGGTTTATTTTAGCACAGGATTTCTGGTTGAAAAGTGCAATAATTACCTGGAAGGGGACCTGGCAGAGCAAGCGACAAAGATTGTTTCCTCCAGGTCCTTGCTGACTAGTTTCTTTGCCTCGCGTACATTCCTTGATTCAGCCTGCATCGTGCTGGTGTAAATTTCACCATGAGGCTATAGCCAAGATGCCATCTATTTGGGGCCCACAACAACGGCCAGTAAGTACTTCATGAGAGAACTTGAGCGAAGGAGTGTCAGCGGCAGATCCTCTGGTACCCTGTTTTGGCGTTTGGCTCCATGATGGCGTGTCTACCCTTGAACTGGTCTCACCATGCAGCTGCTTCATAGTATAGATACTGCTTCTCGTTCTGGAATTGTCACTTTTCTTGTTCTGTCTTGAATGCGTTCGGACATTTCCACCCTCATCATATGCATTTCCTTCTGAATGTGTTTCCGATTTGATTTGGAACTCTCTTCACGAAAGGTAGCTTCGGCTACCTGAGCTGTCTTTGCTTTAGCAATATGATATTGGGGGTGGCGAACTCTTCCCGCGCTTGATTTCGATGGTTTTAGTAATGGTTTTACATGTTAGGGGGCCCATTCGACTCCACCGTGCGCCGCTGAGAATTTGGGAGTGATCTGGCGTATCCACTGTGGTCTATTGCAATCTGTGGTTTATTGCTGGCTGCTGCTGCTTGTTGCTGCTGGCTGTACTGCTGTACTGCTTGCTCCTTCCTGTACTGCTTGCTGCTGCTGTCGCTGGTGCTGGTTGCTGCTGGTTGCTGCTTGCTGCTGGTTGCTGCTATTGCTGCTGCTCGTTGCCGCTGGTTGCTGCTGCTGCTGCTGCCGCTGTTGTTGTTGCTGCTGCTGGTTTCTGCTGCTGGTTTCTGCTGCTGCTGCTGGTTGCTGCTGCTGCTGCTGCTGCTGCTGGTTCATGGCTGCTGCTGCTGCTGCTGATCCTGCTGGTTGCTGCTGCTGTTTGGCTGTTGCTGTTGCTACTTCCTGCTGGTTGCTGCTGTTGCTTGAATCCTGAAGGCTGCTGCTGCTTTGCTGGCTGCTGTTGTGCATTGCCTGTGTTGGGGCTTTCGGGGCGGGCACTGTTGGTGCTTTCTTTCTCTGCCCTCGACCATGACAAGTCCCCACCCTCTTTCAATTGAACGAAAACCAAGGGTTGTGGAGCAGTGGAGGCCAAACTTGTGTGAGCTTTGGTGCTTTGCTCTGCTGCTGCTGCTGCTGCTGCTCGTTGCTGCTCGTTGCTGCTTGTTGCTGCTACTGCTGCTGGTGGTTCGTGGTTGCTGCTGCTGCTTGCTGCTGCTTCTTGCTGCTGCTGCTGCTGCGGCGGCGGCGGCGGCTGCTGCTGCTGCTGCTGCTGCTCGTTGCTGCTGCTGCTGCTGGTGGTTCGTGGTTGCTGCTGCTGCTGGTTGCTGCTGGTTGCTGCTGCTGCTGCTGCTGGTTGCTGCTGCTGGTTGCTGCTGCTGGTTGCTGCTGGTTGCTGCTGCTGTTTGGCTGTTGCTGCTGCTGCTGCTTCCTGCTGGTTGCTGCTGTTGCTTGAATCCTGAAGGCTGCTGGCAACTGTTGCTGGGGTGGTTGTGCATTGCCTGTGTTGTGGCTTTCGGGGGCACTGTTGGTGTTTTTTTTCCCCGCCCTCCACCATGACAAGTCCCCACCCTCTTTCAATTTCGTTTGCGCCACCCCCCCAAAGCTGAACGAAAACCAAGGGTTGTGAAGGACAAACTTGTGTGAGCTTTGGTGCTTTGCTGCTGCTGCTGCTGTTGCGGCCGTTGCTGCTGCCACTGCTGCTGCTGCTACTGCTGCTTTCTGCTTTGCTGTGCTGCAGCTGCTGCTTTGCTCGTTTGCTGCTGCTGGTGCTGGTGCTACCTTTTTGCTTTGCTGCTTCTGCTGGCTGCTTGCTTCTGCTAATAAGAAAATTCTAACCTCTACCTTTCATCCACCTCCGTCGCCTCAAGTCTTGATATTCAGCACTGCGCTTGATGGACTTTTTTTGTCCCTACTGGAGCTATGTCTGTGCTCGTGGACTTTATATGGTATATAGTCATTTAGATCAATATTTTTATCCCGTGTTGGGCCTGCCGTACCCCACTCCATTATCTTGCCTTCACCTTATGTTCTACCTTACTTTAGCTTACCATTCCGTATTCTTTTCTGCATTTCCTCTCCTCTCTCTCCTCTTCTTTTTCTGTGAGGGAGAAGCAAAAATATATATATATACACACAATAGGAATGTCAAGTGGAATTGATCACACTGGCTGGCGCTGAGGCATCGTGTCTGTTGGCCGGAAATACCTGGCGGAGATCCGACCGCTGATAAAAGATGCAGAGCCAACAGCCAAGTGAGCGAAGACGCCAAGCTGTTTGTCAATTCAGCCCTCAGAGACTCAGGTCGCGAATTCCCCATGTTCCGTCCTTGTGGCTTTCTTTGGATGTTTTTGCAGTGCTCATTCGTCGAACTTTTTGTCCCGTTCGGGAGTTCCGTTGATCGAGGTTGGCCGCAACCCAGACATTGCCGCGGTGTTCAAATTGTTGAACACCCTTTGAGCTCTCACAATGTACAGGAATGTGGGGTTGATGCGAGAGCAAAAGTTGTCGTGGGAAGCGGTGGAGGTTGCTTTGACAGTTCTTGAGTTCTTGAGATCATGCGGCCAGATTGTGTACGTGAACAAGTTTGGCCTCTTCTGAGCTCTTTCCTGTCGAACCTACGCAAACTATAGATAGATCTCACTTTTGCAATATCCCCGGCAATTGAGATTGTCATAAGACTGGCTTTCAACAATTCAGTAGCCCTAAATGTGCATATGGCCAGCTTGCGGTGCCTCCCTAATGCTGCATGGCGGAGGCCGATGTAACATCACTTGCCACACTGAAAAGTGTGAGAAATAAACTTGATATATACATGGCACATTGGCATTGGCAAGCTGTCAAGAGGACATTCTTGCTACTTCAGCAAGAGATTTGAGACGGCCTCGCACCCAGAAAGTGAAAGGGTTGGAGGGTTGGAATCTTGGTGAGCATACATTGGACTAGGGCAACCGACCACGTGCAGTTGAAGGACAATCGCTTGCACGGCTCCATCGAAGTCCATGATCAGCTGTGGACAGGATCTCCTGGATGACCTTGTCAATGGGAAGCTGCACCAGCCCTGGCCAAACGCCACACCAGCTCGCACGTCCTAGCAGATTCTCACCTCCAGAGCTTTTTTAATCCCAGCTGGCTCAGGACTCACCTTGTGGCTTTGGATGTAATGCACCTCAGTCTAGTGGCATGAGCGGAGAGAGCGTTGCTTGAAAGGGCTGCTCCTTGGGAAACAAGATAAGGCCGGGGGCATCGCTTGCCACGTCCTAAGTGAGGGTTCTCTCTTAGCTTGGCGGCTGCACGGTGGAAGACGATGTCTTGGCCTTGCCTTTGCCCAACCAGTTCTGCAGCCATTTTCTTGCAAAGGGCATTCGGCTGCCTATTTCCCGAAATGTGCATGCAGCCCACTACATTCAGATTCACTGCAACTCAGCATTCTTCGCATCTTCGCGCGCATCCTTGAACACGAGACTCGACAGTTCTTTGTTCAAAACCTCCTAGTGTATTGGATTCGTGTGTTTTATGGCTCTGGATTGGCATGGGAGGACGAAATTTGCCATAGCCATAGTCAAGGCTTTGTGCACCACCGAGCCCGCTTGTGCTTGCAGGACTTCTTTTTATTGACGATCCCAGGATATTCCAGGCCTTAGCATGGTTGTCCCATCCAGCTGTTGCCAGTGTCACTGCCCTCCATCAGATTGAACTTTCATGAAAGGTGGTTTCAGGGCTTGCGGTTTGCTGAGATGTCGCAGCTGCTTGTTTACAATGCAGTCCTGGCTCAAGAGACAGAAGCAGCTGGCAGGTGGTCCCGTGTATGTGTCGTCCTCCGAAACGGGGGGCTTGGCATGTCGGGCGAGGATGCGAACCCTCTGAATCGGCGATTGCCTGCAGAGGTTGTGACCCGCCAGAAAAGAACCTTGACCAGAAAAGACACGTGTCTTGCCATTCCTTCGGCATGCGTAGGGCATGCCGGGCATGTCTGGGCGTGGCTTCCAGTGCAACAAGGTCATGAAATGAAAAAAAAGGTAATGTTGGGCACGCACAAAACTGCACCCAGACGGTCCATTTGGGATGAAGCTGATGTCTTGGGGCGCTCTAGTACACACCCTACCCATGTGCCATACATAGCGTGAGTTGGTTCGAAATCAGGAGAAGTAAAAAGGATAGTAGAGAATGTGGACGAGGCACGGGTCAAAGTTTGCTTAGATACTCTGTGGCACACCTGGCGCTAGTGGCAATGGCAGGTGCAGGTCGATCTTAAGACTGCTTTATCCCTAAAGCCTGAAGCCCGCCTCAAATGGCTTTCAAAGGCGGGGAGCTTTGGAAGGACTCACCGGTTGCTACTAGTAATAATGATGCTTTTTGTTACTAGTAGCGATGCCCTTGTTCCTAGTAGCTTCTTGTTCCTAGTAGTAACCAGGAGCTACTAGTAGCGTCCTATCATGAGTGTATGAGTGTATGTGTGAACTCAGTGGGAGCCAGTTGGGGCACGTCATGCGCAAATTGCATGAAATCCGCGGAGTGAGTCTGCAGGCGCTCAGAATGGTAGAGGACAAGCGTGCCAACTCCACTGAGCTCTACGACATAGCCTCTCAGATCAAGAGAGGAGATGAGCATGAGCAGAGATTCGAGCTTGTCAAAGGAGAGTGTTCAAGATACGAAAGTATGCTTGATCGCGGGTGGGGCAGTGGGGCAAAAGTGTGTGTTTCCACAGCTGTTCAGATAGCAGAAGATCCTAACATCACCACATCGCAAACGACCACATTCATGACACTGCAGCATCACAAAATTCCACTTTGCACTCACCATCTTGCACGTCACCATATCTCAAATCCCCCGTTTGCACTTTGCCGCGTTACAAACCACCACATCGCTACAACAAACCACATCAAATTTCATCACACACCACCGCGCCAAACATAACCCACACTCAGGCACACACTTTGACACTGGTTTTCCGTTAAGCTCAATTTCTCCGATGGG